TAAGGTCCCAGCACCACCTTGCGGCCACCCCTGGACCAGGCTGCGCCCCCAGCCGGGTCCCCCCCTGCTGAGCCCCCCATTTGCCCCCACAGGCCCGCGACTGCAAGGTGCTGGGGGACCTGGAGGGTGCCCGGCGGCATGGTGCCCGTGCCAAGGTGTTGAACATCATCTGCTCCATGCTGCTGGTCCTCATCGTGGTGGCCATCATCGTCGTCATCATCGTGATGTCCACCACCACCTGACTGCCGCGTGGCCACTGACCTGCTTGCTGCCAGCCCATGGGGTGCTTCTCCTGTCCCCTCCTCCTCCTCCTCCTCCTCCCAAAATGTCCCTGTGTCCCTGCTTTGGGCGTGTGGCACGCTGAGAAAGAGAGTGACACCCTGTCCCCTCGCTGCCTGCACCCCTGGGTGTCCCAGCACAGCCACCACATGGAAGGCGATGGGTGGGCCAGGCTGGGATGCGGGGGACAGCCCCCCTTTCTTCTTCGTTTGTGTGCCTCAGCAGGGATCTGCTGGGCTTCCCGGTGTTTAACCGAGCTGTGACGCGTGTATAGGTCGCTGTTGCCACAAATAAAGCTCGCCCTGCCAAACCCCCTCGCCTGTCGCCTTATTCACAGCGGGGAAGGAGAAGAGGGTCCTTGTGCATCTTCGGGACAGCCTCCTCCTCCCGCTGCTGCTTCCATGGCTCTCTGCCTCCATCCCCGCCATGGTGCAGAGCACTTCCAGCCCAGATCCCAGGTAAGTTTCTTCCTAAAAGTTTAGGCATGGCAGAAGAAGGAAAGAAAAAAAAAGAATCTCTGTGTTTTTCTGGCTGTACACACCCCATCCCGCTGCACAGCCCCATCTCCTCCCAATTCCAGGGAACCCCGTAGAAGTAGCTCTTCCACATTAAGTGGAAGATTAAGTTCCCATTTAATGCATCGGGTGGCCCAAACGCGCTGCGAACGAGGGGCCTTTGTGAGAGACTGAAAGAGTTAATGTCTCAAACCGGTAAAACAAATCACGGTCTGCATAGCAGTGATAAACCTTAAGCGAGAGGTCAGATAACTCAGGACACGGAGGATGTGCCGGAGGGTGCGTAGTTCCGTATCCCGATAGGCCCAGCCTGACAACGCACCATACATGGCCCAAGGTCATACAGAGTTTATTTGGGGAAGGGGCTCACGACCACCACCCCCAATGGCACCTGCACAAAGGATCGGGAGGTACATAACTCCCCGAGAGGCGGGGACTAGTATTTGGGGAAGGGGCTCACGACCACCACCCCCAATGGCACCTGCACAAAGGATCGGGAGGTACATAACTCCCCGAGAGGCGGGGACTAGATTATAGAAAGGCACAACTCCAAGGAGCCGTGCGCGCGCGCCCATCACCAGAGGATTGCCACGTCCGTCATCATCATCGTGGGATCCAAGGGTGGTGATATCTCTCTCTCCCTCTCTTTCCTTCTCTTCTTATAAATGCTTCAATAGAATTCACGCTGCCTACTATTACGCTTTCCAAGTTTAAGTTGCACGTTCCATAAATAAAGCGTTTAATTGATCGCCTGGTGTCGTTTCACCTTAGTTTAGCCCAAGGGAATCACGAAACCGCTACGACCCCCTGAGTCACCCGGTCTGGGTTGTAACAGCCTTCCCAGCGAAGACCACCTGGAGGGATTGGGCTGAAGGTATTGGTGCGAGCTGGCGCAGCGAGAGATCCTGGCACCGAGGGTCTGTCTCGTATCAGCCCCTCAGGGTGATGGTCACTTGGTTTCAAAGTCATCTCACGGCTCCATCCCAACAGCCCTCCCCGAGCGCTCAGCCTCTCCCTCCGTCGTGCTGGAGCCGTCTGTGCTCCTCATCGCAGGAGGTATGCTGGATATAAAAAGCCCGTAGGCTCGCAAAACCAAGTTTGTTTCTCCTAGCTCCCAGCCAAGCATGTCTGATAACCGCAGCCCGGGAAGGGCTGTAATTTCTCGGGTTTATATATAGAAGAGTTGAGGTCGTGCCGTAGACAAGGACTATATAAAGGGGCCACCCTGCCCTGCTCCCCCAGCCAGGCTGGTGGAGCAGGAGAGCCACGGGGTGCCCCTCTCCGTGGCCATGGACACCTCCTACCCGCGGGAGGATTACCTGCCCGCACCATCCCACAAGCGGGAGCCGTCTCCCACCGTCCTTGCCATTGGCGCCTCCCCAACGCCCCGCGACCACCTCGTCTGGTCCATCTTCAACACCATCTACATGAACTTCTGCTGTCTCGGCTTCGTGGCGCTCGCCTTCTCCGTCAAGGTACAGGCACCGAGCAGGGATGGGAGACTGAACATTTGGGGTCACCTGGGAGCCCTCCCTGTGCTGATGCCAAGGGATGGACTTCCCGAGGAGACATGGACCATCTGAAATAACTACCTGGGAGGGCTGGGGTGGGCGACAAGAGGCTGGTTGCAGGTGACACCATCGCCCAGTAAAGCCCCCACACTTTTCCTGCCACCTATTAACTAGGCTGTGAGACCCCCTAGATAACCACAGCCTCCTGCCACTGCCAGAGGACCAACTGCTTCTTCCTAGAAGGTGCTGAGGGGCCGTGCCGCCCCCGGCCCCTCCACCTGCCCTCTGGCAGGAGCAGCTCCAGCTGGACTGGACCAGGGTGGGGAGATGGGGGAAAGCGAGGGCTGGTGCCAGCGAGGCTCCGAAAGAAACAGGAGAGAAGCAGAAGGGAAAAATCCAGTGGCAAAGACAGGGGGGCCGGGGGGAGCCGGAGCGCACAGAGCCGGCGGGCAGCCTGGGATGGATGGATGGATGGATGGATGGCCACCCTCTTGGCTGGTGGGGAGCTGGCTGGCAGCGTGGCACTGCCCGGAGGGCTAAATTGCAGGCTGTGAGGGTGCCGAAGCCACGTAGCCAGGCTGGGAGGAGGCACGGGGAGGGAGCTGCGGGCAGCCCGGGCGCTGCTGCCCCATCTCTCGGCTGTTGCAGGCGCGGGACCGGAAAGTGGCCGGGGACGTGGAAGCCGCTCGGCGCTTCAGCTCCAAGGCCAGGTGCTACAACACCCTGGCCACAGCGGGGAGCGTGGTACTGCCGCTGCTGCTCGCTGCCCTGCTCATCACCGGCGTCATCCACCTCTCCAAGCTCGCCCAGGAGTCTGTCGGCTTCTTCACCTACCAGTTCAGCGGAAGCGACGATGAGGATAAGTGACTGGTGAGCGAAGGGCTTGTAGAAACTCCTCCGCATCGCTGGTGGCCCCCCCAAAAAAAGACCACTGGTCCAGCATAACCCAGCCACCACCCATCTCTGCCACCCAGGGCCACGACCACAAGCTTTCACGTCCACCAGGCAGCGCGTGGCTGGGGGGGAGGCAGCCCCACAAGCTTCTCCCACACGATTGCATCTCCCCTCACCCTCCCCTGCCTGGTCCAGCACCCCCAGCCCCACGGTGCCTGACCCCGGCTCCCAGCCACGCTTCTTGGGGCAGCTTGATTGTTTTTGTTTACCCTGGGTTTTTTAACTCCCTTTATCCTGTGTGGAGCACAGCATCCCTCCAGCCTCGGCGATTACTATTTAAATCATTAAACCATTTCACACATTGCGAGTCTTCTGCGTGCGTGTGTGTAGTGCGGGGGGGCGGTGCTAAAGGGACAGTATAAATATGACTTTTTCGCTCTGATCGTGCTCTTCACAGCCAGGAGAAGTAATAATCTCCACGACCCTTAGAGTCACCCAGCCTAAAACAGCCACAGGCCATCGGGGCCCCTCCTGCGACTGAGGAGGGGAAAGAAGCAAAGAAGTTTATTGGCCTCGTGGGGACACGCTCAAGCAGATGAGATGTCATCCCCTCCAAGGGGTGCTGAGACTTGCAAACTCATTGCAGTAAAGCAGACATCGCCCAGCAGGTCCCCAGGCAAGGACAGAGGGGATGAGTGCAGGATGCAACCCCACTGCTCTGTGCTATCCCTCCCTATTGCCCTCCCCGGGTCAGAGCCAGTTCATTTTGACAACTGGACTAAAAGGATTTTTTTTTTTTTTGGGGGGGGTGCACCCCTTTTAGTGCCACCTGGACCCTGGCCTTTATCCCCAGCCCCATCAAAATCCAAATCCAGGTGCAGCCCATAGGGCTGTTATGAGGGGCAAGGGGATGGAGGGGTCCATTTGTCCTGCCCTGCTGCCAAGAACTGCTGCTAATTAGGGGTTGGGTGACTTTTGATGAGGCCTGACAAAGAGCCAGCATAATTATAAGGCAGGGGAGTCGCTTTGCCTCCTTCCTTAAGCATTCCCACATGCTGCCTGCGGCAGGGAGCGGCTGCAGGGCTTTTTATAAACTCTGTGGGATTCAGCTGAGATTCCTGGGGTTTGTTTAGAGAGGACAGACCCCGGCAGGGCAGGGAGCATCTTTGACATCCCCTCAGCTTTGACCCATGTCTTCTCTAGCAAAGGCATGGGGCTGGGAAACGAGGCACCAAAACCACGTCCAGGAAGGGGGATGCAGGAGGGGAGGATGCTGCGAGGTGCAGAGCTGGTTCCACACCCTTCCCTTTCCTCCCTCAGAGTTTCTAGGACATGGAAAATGCCTTAAGCAAATACACAGCAGGGCTTTGCTCGCCCTGAGGCTACTTAGCTGGAGGAGGACTCTGCTCAGACCCCAGAAAAATGCTGCACTTGTCATCTGACATAATATTAATGATAACTGACACCCGGGCTTCCTATAGCCCTTCAAATGTCAAGTTAGAAGGGCTTTAACTCCAAAACTGCTTGAAAAGAGAGATGATAATGTAGATAAGGGGTTAAAAACATGATAGGGATGTTTTACGCCAAATAACTCAAAAGAAAAGAAGCTGTGCGCTGCCCAAACAGGGCTAAAATGCTTTTGGCTGTATATTTTGTGACTAATATTAGCGCCAAAACAGCGCTCCGCTCCAGCCTTACTTCTGTCCACTCCACAGTGCTGCCTGCTGCCCCACGCTGCCTTGGCAGAGTTTCTCATTAGGGGGTCAGCAGGATTTGGGGTGGTCCCGGTCACTTGGTGTATTGAAACCCCAGAGGCACGAGGATCCTCCTCTTTATGCTCACTGGCAGGCAGGAGTGACATGGCGAAGCAGCAGTGGCTGAGTCTCCACAGCCCTTTGAGCCCCCTGAGCGACGCAGGCGTCCGGGAAAAAGAGAGGACCAAGCCAGGACGTCCTGGAGGAGCTGGGAGTCAGCACACGTACGGGCTGGACTAAATACAGATTTATCAGCTAGGGGCATCCTTATAAATGCAGATGTTTAAAGCAGAAACAAGTCACAGGTGGTTAGAAAACTCATTTAAAACAGTCACTTTCAGGCTTGATTTCGTCTCCACTGCGAAGTGAGAGATGTTGAAGGCACGTGAACAGGAGTCAGGGGGCTCAGTGCCCCCCAGCATAGACAAGGATGCCCAGCATCACTCTGGGAGCTGCTGCCACACCAGCCATGGTGAGAGCTCCGAGTCCACCACCCCTCCCCGGGGCCACAAAGAAAGATGGTACACACAGTCCCATGGGGGCAAAGGGTTTATGGCACAGCCTGGGACCCCTTCCACCCCACCTTTACCTTCCCCCTCTGCCAGCTTCTGCTCTTCAACTTGTTTCTGCTGCTTTGGTGGGTAAAACCCAGATCAACCAAGGTTTAAAATGCCTTGGCGGATGACCTCTGAATCCAGCCGGCCGCCGTGGGGAAAGAGACGCTCTGCCCTACAACAAAACCCAACCTGTGTGAGATACGGGAATGGCTTCTCCCCACATCTTTGTTTTAGGCAACAGACTCGGGTGGTGACAGGGTACCTTCACACAGGGGAAACTGCTGCCCCGACTCCTCCAGCACAGCTTCCAGGGGAGATGCCGGAGGGTCCCGGGGAGACTCGGTCACTTTGATCCTGATCTCTTCTTTGGTGATGGTGAACTTCAGTTTGTTGCCGAAGTAGGAGACGCCGGTGACTTTCAACTTGTTGATGTCATCAGGAAAGGCAGGGTTGAAGCGGAGGCTGGTCTTTGTGATCCTGGAAAGGCAGGAGCAGGTCAGTGGTGGGAACAAAGGGTGGCCACAAAGCAAAGCAGCTTTATAGGGTCAGCCAGCTCCCACCTCCCCAGACAGCACAGCCTCACACATCCCAGAGGCCCCTCCCATTACTCCGTGCATCTGTGGGCAGAGCGAGTCCTTGGTGTATCCCAAGGATCTCTGGGCAAATCCCGAACACACTGATGAAGCATCTGGTGAAGAGCTACTCAGGTCATGATTTCACAGCCCAGCACCCTAAGGCATTCCTGTCCCTCTTCTAGTTCCTTGTTTGGGGTCTGTGGTTTCCATTAGGTTTGATTTTTTTTTTAACTAAAAAAAAGAGAAAAATATTTATTTTTTTAAGGCAGCTCAGTTCCCCACTCATGTTCAGAGGGTGGCTTCATCAGATGCTACGCTGGCAAAATTTCAAGAACACCCTGCTCTGAGATGGGGAGGGGAACAGGGCACAGGAATGAGCAGAGGTGGCCATGGACCCAAGCAGGAATTGCCACTGAAGTCTGGTCATATGAACCTACGGGCGCAGGCTCTGGGCCACGTGCTGGAACTGAACTCCAGCCATGTGAGGAGCTCAGGAGATGGCTGTAGCTGGGATTTTTAGGATGCAAGTTCAGCTTCAGCCAAAATACCTAGCAGCATGTATCCGTTCTCATCTGCCGTTGCTCTGAAAGCTATACGACGCTGGTGAAGAGATGGTGGGAGCTCACCTCACGCCTGGTGGAGATGCTCCTGGAAGTGCTGCTCGATTAAATCACAAGACACACCTGACTGCTAGCACTGCCCCTCTCCTCTGTAATTTGCCATCTCAACCAAGATGCATCCGCACAGCTCGGTTTTCATTTTCCCTCCAGGCTGTGACCAAAGCAGGTCAGCAAGGTGTCGTTCAGAAACCCACATCAGCTCCCACTCCCACCAGTTTGAAGGGCTTTAAACTCAGCGCCGCTATATGTGTTCCTTCACCGAAAGATTAAAAAAAAAAAAAAAAAAAAA